ACACCAACAGGCCCAGTGCACTATGACACACTTTCTAAAACTGGTCACATGACCTCCCACCCCAAGAGGTCTTCTGCAATGACAGCTCAACACTCATCCTGGCAAGTGGGGGATCTGTGCCCCATCTCTTGAATGTGGCAGCTTCTGGGACTGCCTTGGTCGACAGTGTGTGGAAGTGATACCATGTGACAGTCAAAGCCAGGGCCCGTCCTTCTGGTTTTCTGGAGATGCTTGCTCTTGGGACCCAACTGCCATGCTGTGAGGAAGCCCAACTAGCCTAGGTAGAGAGACGACATGGAGAGACCACATGGAGAGGCCACATAGAGAGACCACATGGGAGAGGTCTCATGGACAGGCCACATGAGGCCGCATGACAAAGCCACATGGAAAGGTCTCATGGACAGGCCACATGAGGCCACATGGAAGTGTTCCAGCCAGCCACGGGCCCTACTGAGGTCCAGGTCAACACCAGCATTGACCACTAGACCTGTGAGTAAAGATGCTTCCAGGAGACTTCAGTCCCCAACTGCTGAGTCACTGCGGCAGAGGCTCCAGACATGGTAGAACAGACAAGTCGTAGTGCCATCCCCTGTGCAAACACCTGCCCTGGAGAAGCCGTGAGCACCTCACAGTGGCCGTTCTGGACCCTGAACTTGGGAGTGCCTTGTTATGTACAAGATGGAATGTTGTTGGCTATTGCTCAGCCTTGGCGCCTCCTCTCCCCGCTTGCCTGTTGCTGTAATGACAGTCTCAAGTGTGTCTCTGAAGGAAGGGCCCCCGGGCTTCCTCACTGCATGCATTCCCATCTTCTCTCCCCTGCTGCAGCCACTGGCGTCAGCGGCACAGTGGATCCGCCCCCACCCACTGCCCAATTCCCCAGCACCGACCCAGCCAGACACAAGACATCACCAGGGGGCAGTGGGTGCATGTCAACCGCAGGCAATGGCTCAATGCTGGGCAGAATGGGAGGCTCCCGGCCCTATGTCGCCATTTCTGCCAGGGAAACACCATCACCTCAAGGACCAAGCCAGAAGGAGGTATTGCTGAGTCCCCAGTTCATGTGAGGGGCCCCATCGTGGCCACTACGTTCTGCAGCAGCCCTGTCCCCATCTGGACTCTGGTCCCTCCTCCCACCTCCTGCCACGCTCAGGACCGAGCCTCTTCCCAGAGCCCAGGACAGGCAAAGGAGGTCTCTGCTCCAAACTGACACAGCAAATAAACCAGCCTCAAGGGCACACGTGCCGGGTGCAGTGGCTCATGCCTGTAATCCCAGCGCTTTGGGAGACTGAGGTGGGTGGATCACCTGAGGTCAGGAGTTCAAGACCAGCCTGACCAACATGGTAAAACACTATCTCTACTAAAAACCCAAAAAATAGCTGGTCATTGTGGCACATGCCTATTATCCCAGCTACTTAGAAGGCTGAGGCAGGAGAATCCCTTGAAGTCAGGAGGCAGAGGTTGCAGTGAGCCGAAACTGCGCCACTGCACTCCAGTCTGGGCGACAGAATGGAACTCCACCTCAAAAGAAAAAAAAAAAAAGCACATGTACTGCAGATTCCACTCTTTTTTTAGGTGGAGTCTCGCTGTTACCCAGGCTGCTGGAGGGCAGTGGTGCAGTCTTGGCTTACTGCAGTCTCCACCTCCCAGGTTCAAGCGATTCTCCTCCCTCAGCCTCCTAAGTAGCTGGGACTACAGGCACACGCCACACCACGCCTGGCTAATTTTTGTACTTTTTGTAGAGACGGGGTTTCACCATGTTGGTCAGGCTGGTCTCAAACCCCTGACCTCAGGTGATCCACCAGCCTCGGCCTCTCCAAGTGCTGGGATTACAGGCGTGAGCCACTGTGCCCAGCCCAGATTCCACTCTATCGGGCACCCAGAGGAGTCAAACTCATAGAGACGGGAAGTAGAATGGTGGGTGCCTGGGGCTGAGGGAGGGGCTGGGGAGTGAATGTTTAATGGGGACACAGTTTCAGTTGCAGAAGATGAGAAAGTTCTAGAAGCGGATGGTGGTAATGGCTGCACAACACTGTGATGTGCTTAATGCCACTGAACTGTGCAGTTCATTTTTTTTCTTTTTTGAGACGGAGTCTCGCTCTGTCGCTTAGGCTAGAGTGCAGTGGCGTGATCTTGGCTCACTGCAAGCTCCGCCTCCCGGGTTCACGCCATTCTCCTGCCTCAGCCTCCCAAATAGCTGGGACTACAGGCACCCGCCACCGGGCCCAGCTAATTTTTTGTACTTTTAGTAGAGACGGGGTTTCACCGTGTTAGCCAGGATGGTCTCGATCTCCTGACCTCGTGATCCACTCACTTTGGCCTCCCGAAGTGCTGGGATTACAGGCGTGAGCCATCGTGCCCGGCCAGTTCATTTTTTTTCTGAGACAGGGTCTCGCTCTATCGCCCAGGCTGGAGTGCAGTGGTGCAATCATGGCTCACTGCAACATTGACTTCCCAGGCTCAAGCAATGCTTCTGCATCAGCCTCCCCCCCAATAGCTGGGACCACAGACAGTCGTGCGCCTCCATGCCCAGCTAATTTTTGTACTTTTTATAGAGACAAGGTCTGACTATGTTACCCAGGCTGCTCTCAAACTCCTCGGCACAAGTGATGTTTCTGCCTTGATCTCCCAAAGTGCTGGGATTACGAGTATGAGCCACCGCCCCCCGCTTGAACTATGCACTTTATTTTTTTTTTTTTCTTCAAAAAAACCCTCTGCTGGCAAATTACGCACTTTAAAATGGTTAAGATGGGCCAGGCCTGGCGGCTCATGCCTGTCATCCCAGCACTTTGGGAGGCCGAGGCAGGTGGATCACTTGAGGTCAGGAGTTCGAGACCAGCCTGGTCAACACGGCGAAATCTTGTCTCTACTGAAAATATTTTAAAAATTAGCCAGGCATGGTGGTGGGTGCCTGTAATCCCAGCTACTCAGGGGACTGAGGCAGGAGAAACGCTTTAACTCAGGAGGCAGAGGTTGCAGTGAGCCATCACACCACTGCCCTCCAGCCTGGGCAACAGAGCAAGACTCTATCTCAAAAAATGATAATAAAATAGAATGAACAAGGCTGAGGCTGTTTCCACAGCCTCGGGGGAACACCTAAGCTGACTCGGCCCTGCCTGCCTTCAGCCAGTTACCACTTTTGCCGTCTGAGCTGCCACCAGACCACAGGGAGGCTTTTGCAGTGTGCAGCCTGTACAACCATGCCAGTGCACCTGCACTGCTCCCTGCCAGGCCCATCCTGACCTATGCAGCCTCCTTGCTCACCTTTGGCCTCCCCAGCCCAAGGCTGTCTCAGCTGTCACCTCCTGATGCCCCCTGGGGAGTGTGTGCCCCTCTGCTCCCCACTTTGGGTCTTGTGTCTCCATCCACACACCTCTGTTTCAGACAACCTGCACCCCACCCAAGCACAGCACCCACCCCCCACCATCTGAAGTGAATGAAGCCACCAGCCTCGGGCCCAAGGAAGGGGTTGTAGGTAAGAGGTCAAAGCGTCCCTGCTGGAAGGAGCACACGGCTGCCTGGCTTTCTAAATCAAGTCCATTTTATTTGAAATTTTCCACATGCCACACATGTACATGAAAATTCCCATCCAGAAGGTAGTTTGCTACAGGGAACACCAAAGTCAGGAGCAGGCATCACCGTGAGACGCCATGGGGGCAAGTCAGCGGGACGGGGACAGGGAGGTTGGTCATCAAAAGGCAGGTAATGCATGTAGGGTCATTTAGCACCTGGTCATGAGATATGGCAAGACCCCCGGGGCCAGGGAAAGGTCTCGCCTTAAAAACACGTGGAGCTCTGCTGTCTCTGGGCAGTCTCACGCGGATGGGCAATGCTCAGAGGGTGGCGAAGGGGCTGGAGGGAGGTACCACCAGTGGCTGCAGGGGAGGGGCACGCACACACACAGGCACGCACATGCTTGCCCGTGAACACCCCTCGGCACACACACACCCTTGCACACTCCCCACCCTCTGCCCCAGACACATCAACAACACAGCGGTCCAGGCTCTGGCTCACTCCCTGGGAGGCTTCTGTGGCCAGGGTTCCCCCGGCAGGTCTGGCGGCAACAGCTTGGAGAAAGCCTCGCAGGACCAACCCTCATTCCCAGGTCCACTGGTCTGGGGCGGGAGTAGCCAGGTGTTCTGATCTGGGGTTTTCCCGTAAACCGACCCCTTCAGCATTTCTGCTTTATTTTTTGTTTTTTTGAGACAGGGTATTTCTGTGGCCCAGGGTCGAGGGCAATGGTGTGATCTTGGCTCACTGCAACCTCCAACTCCTGGCCTTAAGCAACCTCCTGTCTCAGCCTCCTGAGTAGCTGGGACCACAGGCACACGTACAATGCCCAGCTAACTTGTTTTTAAATTTTATGTAGAGATAGACTCTCACTATGTTGCCCAGGCTGGTCTCGAACTCCTGGGCTCAAGCAATCCTCTTGCCCCAGCCTCCCAAAGTGCTGGGATGACAGGCTTGAGCCACTGCGCCCGGCCCCTCCCATGTTTCTTGAAGGAGCTTGAGAGTAGAGGAGCCCTGATAACAGCTGGCCCGAGTCACGGCCACCACGGGGTTCCTCAGTGTCTGTGGGGTTTGTGTTCATCATGCCCAGTAGATCTAGAAACTTCTAACTTGAACCCACACCCCCAAGTGCAAATGAGACCCATGGCCATCATGAAGAGCCCCCCAGCGTCGTGGTCAAGGCTACCAGGAACTGGCAGCAGCACTCTGCCCACGTCCACAGGAGGCGGTCGACGTCTCCTCTGCCTCCGGTTTAGCGGCCCCACACTTCATCGCCACACCTTGTCCATGAATTTCACAAGCTTTCTTACAAGAGCTCTGTAATGGGCCAGGCACGGTGGCTCACGCCTGTTATCCCAGCACTTTGGGAGGCCGAGGCAAGAGGATCACTTGAGGTCAGGAGTTCAAGACCAGCCTGACCAACATGGTGCAACCCCGTCTCTACTAAGATACAAAAATTAGCCGGTCATGATGGCGGGTGCCTGTAATCCCAGCTACTCGGGAGGCTGAGGTGGGAGAGTCGTTTGAACCTGTGAGGCAGAGGTTGTAGTGAGTGAGCCGAAATCGTGCCACTGCACTCCAGCCTGGGGGACAAAGGAAGACTCCCTCTCAAAAAAAAAAAATCTGTCATTTTCAGATCCTAAAACGAGCAGATAACAGGGGAAGAGGAGGTGGGAGGCTGTCACAGCACTGCCTGCTGGGAGATCAGGGTCTCCGCATCCAGGGCTCCAGCACCCTCCATCCCTGCAGGAGCACTGCTGGCACCTCCAAGGCCGGGACACTGATCTGGAGCTTCATTGGCTGGCAGGGGCCCAGCCCTCAGCTGTTGCAGCCCTACTGCTCTAGGCCTGGCCCCTCCATGAGCCCCCCAGGCCCAAGCCTGAGCCCAGCCCCAGTCCCCTGGGCCCAAAGGCCTGTGGCTCTGGGTCCGGGCACAGGGAGTGGTTGAGGGAGGGCGCTGCTGAGCTGACAGGCACGCCTTGTGTGTTTTTAGCGCCAGAGGAGCTCAGCCCATCCTGGCTGCAGTCCTGGGTTGAAGCAGCGAGTGTCCTCCCGCCCTGTGCACACACAGGTCCCGGGATGGCCTCTTGGAGAAGAAACGTCTCAGGCCTGTGTCCTGGCAGGGCGTCTGGGGGCAGCGGATGGCAGGGATAGAGCCCGCCTCCTCTGCTGCAGAAGGAAGCAGCCCTCACCCAGCTCCCCTGGGCTGGACGGGCCCTTGAAAGCGAGAAAAGCCTCATACAGCAGAGAGGAGCACCCAAGGCCCAGAAAGGCACCTTTGCTCTGGGTCCTCAGGCTCAAGTGCCTGCCCTGGGCCACCTTCAGAAGCCTGGTGGGGCCCAGTGTTGCCTGGTGACATGGAGCAGGCGGCGGGGCGGAGGCTTCGGGACAAGGGGCTGCAGGGTCACAGGCCACAGGGCCATGGGGCCGCAGGGCCAGGAGGAAGTCAGGAGAATAAATAGCAGCTAGGTCTGGGGTGAGCTGGGGGCACAGGCAGGACGGGGCAGCCAGAGAAGTAGGAGCTCTCCCTTTTAAAGAACAAAGGGATACATACCCTTTCCCCTCCACCCTCTCTCCAACCCCTCAGTCTCTCCCTCACACTCACACAGGGAAGACGTGACTCACACACGCATGCACACACAGGGCACAGGTTTACCCAGGCACACACACACAGGCACACATACACGCAGGCACATGTGCACACACAGGGCACAGATACACACAGGCACACATGCACACAGGTACATGCACGCAGGCACACGTGCACACACAGGGCACAGGTACACACAGGCACACCCATGCAGTCACACGTGCACACACAGGGCACAGGTACACGCATGCACACGTGCATGCAGGCACACACACGCAGGCACACGCACGCAGTCACGGGGACAAGTGCTGACCACGCTCCTCCGGCAGGCAGCATATGGTCTGACACTTAACAGCCAAGCTCTGCCAATTGGGGACCATTAGGGTGGGTTCTTTTCCCAGCATCAAATGCTGCAGAATATAAATTGCAACTAACACTGGTGCCAAAATAGCACTTAGCAAAAATAAGCACGTTATTAACATCTGGTGAAGCCCATCTCGGGGGTAGCAGCAGCGGAAATTCTTGCTCCAAGTCAAAGGATGGTTGCAGGGGACACTAAAAATACAAGGTCTACTGTTTGGGGGGTGCTTTCCAAGGCACTGCACCCCGGCCTCGGGAACGGCCCTTCCCCCAGTCCTGTCTATGAGTATAAATTATGCTGCTGGTTAAAACCGCTTGCTCATGAGAACAGGACACCCAGCCGTGATCATACGCCAAGATGCATTCCTGGTGCAAACGCAATTCTCTGGCCCCAGTGGGGAATGTTCTGGAAGAAAGGAGAGGGGCGCAGAGCTGCAGCGCCCAGAGACACAGGCTCACTGAGGGTCCGGGAGACTCCCAGGCCACCTGCCTCCCTCCTGGGCCACATCCCCTGCCTGCCACACCTCAGTCTGAGAGCAAGAAGTGGTCAGTACTGGGAGGTACCACACCACCGGATCTGATCACTGCGCCTGGTGGTCTCCAGGTACCATTTTAAAGCTCTAAAGAAATGCCCAGGAAGTGTGTGTGTGGGCCATGGGCAGCTGGTCCTGTGGCCTGCAGGTCAGGAGACGGGGCCGAGGGGTATGGCTCTCAGAGGCCGTGACAGGAGGGCCAGGAGGCCTCTGGGAAGCAAAGGTGTGGTCTGGTGCTGGTCCCACCATCAGGCTCTGCTGAAATCAGCCTGCGGACGGGCCACTCCAGCCAGGAGGCAAAGGTTCTGCACTGGGTGCAGCCTGGGGCTGGGAGAGGACCCGTGGGCTTCAGGGAGGAGGCGATGACCCCATACATACAAGAAAGTAAGTCAGGGTGAAGTGGGAGGAGACCTCGAACCCCAGATCCGCCTGTGCCAGTGAGCAGAGGCACCAGGGCAGTGCCAAGACTGCCATGTGGAGAGCTGGGAGGCAGCCTGCACAGGAGGGCTGTCCCTCCCTACAGCTCTGACCCCAGTTCTCCAAAGGCCTCTTGGACAAGGAGCTGCTGAGAATCATCCCCGCCCAAGGGCAGGGTCGGTGATCAGAGGCCCGGGGACAGTGTCCCCCATTTTTTAACAGCAAGGCAAATGTGAGACACCGCCCCACAGGACGGTGGACCTGTCACATGGAAACCCAGGAGGATGACGGCGGGCTGGGCAAGGGGCCCTTCACCAAGAGCGGCCAAGGCGGCGGTCCAGGCGAGCAGGACCCAACTACAGCCCCCCTCAGAAGCCACCAGCCCAGGGACAGCTCTAGGAGCGCCTGGAGGTGGAAGGCGGCAGAGGTGACCAGCGTGGCACATGGGGTTGGGCCTCGGACGCTGGGAAGGTGTCCTCATTTTTGGAACAGCTTTAATTTTTTTCTCTTTAAGAGATGGGGTATCCCTGTGTTGCCCAGGCTGGTCTCAAACTCCTCGGGTCAAGTGATCCTCCCAAAATGTACTGAATATATATATATATATATATATATATATATAGAGATGGAGTCTTGCCCTTTCACCCAGGCTGGAGTGCAGTGGCGTGATCTCAGCTCACTGCAACCTCCGTCTCCCAGGTTCAAATGATTCTCCTGCCTCAGCCTCCCGAGTAGCTGGGATAACAGGCACCCACCACCACGCCCAGCTAATTTGTGTATTTTTAGTAGAGATGGGGTTTCACCATGTTGGCCAGGGTGGTCTTGAACTCCTGACCTTGTGATCCACCCGTCTCGACCTCCCAAAGAGCTGAGATTACAGGCGTGAGCCACCACGCCCAGCTGAATATTTTTAAAGTCTTAAATAAAGTCATTCGAAATGGGGTCCTATGATTGCTACTCCAGCCTTATGAATCCTTTCTGGGTTTTAATGTTGCACGTTATTCTAACAAAGCTGAATGTGTATCTATTTCCCCAGGAATGCACATGGACCTTCGCAGGGAAGCTGAAGGCTGTGGGGTGGGTGGGAGCAGGAGGAGACCTCTCTCATGAGAAGCAGGCCCTGCTCATTGGGCTGAAAAGCCATAGGAGAGGCTCCAACCAGCAGTCCCAACCCCAGGGGACCTCTCTGGGGCCACAGGCATCATCAGGCTAGAAAAGTCCCAGAGACGTGAGTGGGCTCAAGTGTGTTCTAATGGGACGGAGAGTCCTAAGTCCGCAGCCTAAACCGGCAAGCCCTTCCCCATGTCACACTCGGCCACGCAAGGGGACACTCAGACACACGGTGACCAGCCTGGCCGACTGGACTTCAGGGGGACAGCATGTGGCCGCCCATCCGTGGGGCCCCGGTGGCAGGTGACCACAAACACGACAGCCAAGGGACACGCTTCCCAGTCAGAATGGCATGGAGTTCCGGTCCTCCAGGCCCATCGACAGGGCCCCCAGGGATTGAGGCTCAGTGTACAAACCCCCAAGCCAGGCCCCAAGGGTCAGCCTGGTTCAGCCAGCCTCCACATCGACGGTCCCCTGACCCCCCTCATGTCAACCAGAGCACATCCCCTCAACCCAAACTTCACAGAGCAACAGTTCCCATGAGAGAGCCGCAGAGATGCCAGGAGCCCCAGGAGCCAGGTGGGGCGTGGCCGGCCGGGAGAGAGGCCCTCTTCCTCTTGTAACAAACCAAGGGTCCCTGGTGTCCCAGGCTCCTACAGCGTCTTGAGGTGACTCAGACCGATGGGCGGCGGCTTGGCCTCTCACCACCACAGGTTCGGCGGTTCCTCGGCCACTCTGCTCTTAAATAAGGTGATCTCATCCAGGTGCACCAGAGGGACGTCCCGGATGACGTCGGTCAGGCCCTCGTGGAGCAGAGGGAAGATGACGACGTTCAATGCGGGCCGCTCAGCCTGGAAGCTGAACCAGAGACAGGTGGTCAGCAGATTACGTGGGTGGCCACAGAGGGGGCAGAGCCTGCCGGGGGAGCCCAGGAGGCACTCACAGCTGCCCCCGCCACCCGGGCTCACCTGGGGCTCCCGGAGAGACCAGGCCTGCTTCGAGAGTCACCCTCTATGTGCCTTGAGGGCCCCGTACGTGGCAGCCAGAGCTGAGGAGGAGCAGGGCAGCCGGGAACAGGCAACACACTTCTCTCCAGGTTCAGGGGGTACCTGCTCCATGCCAGCCACGAGTATCAGAGGCCCCAGAGGCCAACCCTGCTCTGCAGATGCGGAAGAGCTGCCAGGACAGGCTGCTGTGCTCCGAGGCAGCAGAGGGACCCCACTGCAGGAGTGGCAAATTCAAGGCACCTGGCCCATGGACGTCCCACGGCCAGGACAGAGAGAAGGGACAGGTGTCCATACCCCACAGCCGCACGTGGGCCACCTCAAGGGGGTGCGACTCCCAAGTCAGTGAGGCAGTAGCAGTCACTAGGAGGAGCAGATACCAAAGCGGCTACTCGGGAAAAGCACACATTTGACCGCATGACAAATGGCAGGTGGGCGACGTTCCCAAAGCCCCCCCACCAGGCGACCAGCCTGCATGCATGAAAACTCATGCACAATTGCCACGGGGTGCCCACCGAGTGCCAGGCACGGCTCTGAGCTCTACAGACATGACCTCATTTTGCCTTCCCCACAACCCTACAACGAGCCACAGTCCCCCAGCGGGCCATGAAGCAGAGCAAGGATTCCCCCCGCCAGTCAGAGCAGGTCACCAGCACAGTCCTACTGGCCCTATTTGGCCAAAATGCAATGCAAGCCGGGCACTGTGGCTTGCTCCCATAATCCTAACACCTGGGAGGCTGAGGTGGGAGACTCGTTTGAGGACAGGAGTTCCAGAACAGCCTGGGCAACATAGGGAGACTCTGTCTCTATAAAAAATATTAAAAAATTAGTAAGGCATGGTGGCGCATGCCTGTCACCTCAGCTACTCAGGAGGCTGAGGCAGGAGGATCACTTGAGCCCCGGAGGTAGAGGCGGCAGTGAGCTATGATCACACCACTGTACTCCAGCCTGGGCAACACAGTAAGACCCTGTCTCTAAGAAAAAAAAGAAAGAAAAGAAAATGCAAAGACCCAAGTGTCAGCCCAGGAGCTCCAGGCAGAGGGAAAAACATAGCAGTGCCCCAGAGAGCAAGACAAAAACATCCAGGCCGGGCGCAGTGGCTCACGACGGTAACCCCAGCACTTTGGGAGGCAGAGGCAGATGGATCACCTGAGGTCAGGAGTTTGAGACCAGCGTGGCCAACATGGTGAAACCCCATCTCTACTAAAAATACAAAAATGAGCCGGGCGTGGTGGCGGGTGCCTGTAGTCCCAGCTACTCAGGAGGCTGAGGCAGGAGAATCCCTCAAACCCAGGAGGTGGAGTTACCAGTGAGCCGAGATCATACCATTGCACTCCAGCCTGGGCAACAGAGCGAGACTCCGTCTCAAAAAAGAAAAAAAAAAAATCCAGACACTTCTTCCTAGAGGGTCTCAGGGGGTGCAAGGCAGGGAGGCACCCACAACAAAGAACCTCACCGTTTGCCAACACTGAGTCAAGTCCCCCCGGCCACAGCAGCCACTTAAAGGGAAAAGGACAACGGGGTCCAGCCTCTCGCTGTGACCCTGCCTGAGGCGGTGCTGGACTCACGACACACAGAGTCAACGGCAGAAAGGCACTCACAAAACCTGAGGTTTTGGCAATACAGACGCCATCACAGCCCTGGCCCTGCACAGTAATCTTGTGGGCAGCGATGTCCGTGACCGTGAACCCCACGGGTCATATGGCAGATGCATCCTGGCCTGTGAAACCATCATGCCATGTACTTGACTTACATCAAACTCGACCCCCTCTGGCTCCAGCTCCCGAGGCTGCTAAGGAGCTGCTGTCAGCCGGGCACGGTGGCTCACACCTGTAATCCCAGCACTTTGGGAGGCCGAGGCAGGCGGATCACGAGGTCAGGAGATCGAGACCATCCTGGCTAACACGGTGAAACCCCGTCTCTACTAAAAATACAAAAAAAATTAGCCGGGCCTGGTGGTGGGCTCCTGTAGTCCCAGTTACTCGGGAGGCTGAGGCAGGAGAATGGCGTGAACCCGGGAGGCGGAGGTTGCAGTGAGCAGAGATCGCGCCACTGCACTCCAGCCTGGGCGACAGAGCGGGACATGGAGCTGCTGTCGAGACATGGAAGGTGATTTGTTTTTTTTTTTTTTTTTTTTTGAGACAGGGTCTTGCTCTGTCTCCTAGACTGGAGTGCAGCGGCACAGTCAGCTCACTGCAGCCAGTAGCTGGGACCACAGGCACACCCCACCA